CGATCGTTTCCGCACGGAGTCTATTTCTGCTGTGCTGCACGCGCTGAAAGTGACAGCGCATTATTCGCGGTAAAAAATTTATATGGATTGACACAGAAATTTTGTAATTACATCATAAATGCTTATAATTAAAGTCTACTGTTTCACAGTCAACACATGGCTTTTTGGCTAGATTTAAAACAAGGAAAAGTGCACTTTTAGATAAACAAGGCAATAATAGATGGCACTCATGGTGGTAGTTAAACAAAGTTATATTTATTGAGTTTAAACGTGAATATGTCTATGAAAGATTGTATTACTGTACTGTGATAAAAGAGAATCACAATGCTGAAAAAGCATTTTCAGAAACAACGTTTGGATTTGAAATCAAAATAATGGTCAAATGTTGTGTTTGTGGTAAACAGCCGCGGATCAGGAGCAGACTGCAAACGCGTCCCGTGCGAAAGCAAAATGAGTCTGTGCTGCTTCTGCACCGCATACACATACTGTATACGCACTGCAGACGAGTACGTGTGAACTTGGCGCAACAAATCTTCAACATCTGAGGCAACGCCACAAAGAGCTCTATGACCAATGCATGGCAAAAAAAAAACCTGGACACGGGATTTTTTTTTTCTTCTGCCATATTGAGACATTTTGTTACGCCTTTACTTAGTGATTATTTTGCCTTATGTCTGTTCCAGAGACATGTTACAGCTTCTTGATAAAGCTCTAATTGGTTTTCTTTTGGAAATATGTTTCAAATTCCCACTAAATGCATTTATGACTGTAAAGCATGTCTGTGTGTGTCAAAATCGTGATTAAAATCGAAATCGCAAAATTAGGTCTAACAGTTCAGGTTTCTAATCATCCAAGCTGCTGTCAGCATGAGATGCCACAGAAATGGACACCCAAATGCTATCTGTAATGGCAGTTCATTGATGGCAAAGGCAAGGCATTCGTATTCATACAATTATCTAGCGAAGTCTTCTGACAGCTGGATTAGTTTACTAAATGATATACTATGATCAACAAAGGAATTAGAAACTAACGAGCAACAAAAATCATGGCTGATGAAGCACTTATGATGACTTTAGGAAAAGAAGCAGTTAAGAGCAAACGATTTGGTTTGAAATATTGCAAGAAATTAGGTGCGGTCACATTTACCACTGTCTGGTGAAATTTCACAGGCAAATTCCAGTCATTTCAACAGAAATACAAGCGATCAGGAATTTCACGCGAGAACGAAACAGTTCCATACGCAGGTTAGACTCAGGTTGGTCATGTGACTCATTATTGTGAAATAAATTAAATATTAATATAATAATATAAATATAATATATATTAATAGAAGCAAAGTTTAATAGAAATATTCACTAAATCAATATAGTGTTACAGATCATGTTATTTGTCCCATGTAGTAGCCAGACCATTTTTGTGCCAGCAAGTAATGCCAGCCTTTTCCATCATATAGCCTACCACCACAAGAATATTTTAGACCTGTGGAAAACACTGAGATAAGTAAAAAAAATTGTAATAAACCAAGCTGCTATAGTAATTCGGGTAGACAGAGCCAAGAGCGGAGGTTTATAAGAATTAAAAAAAAAAAAAAACTGAAAACTTCTGTCAGGTCGCCAGGCTAATTAAAAATGATTATATCTGAAATATTTCTTTTTGTTTCAATTTTACAGTTTAGATCTGCAATGAAAATAACATGTGAAAGTTCAGGGTTGGTAACCTCTTCACAGCAAACTATCATGAAACTTTTATCCAAAGTTATTTCCGAGCCCATGTTAACGGATCAGAGCGTTCCCACTGCACACGATTGCGGTCTGGCAATGCGCTCCAGGAGCGGTGCGTCTGCAGCAGTCATGCTGCGATCGTTTCCGCACGGAGTCTATTTCTGCTGTGCTGCACGCGCTGAAAGTGACAGCGCATTATTCGCGGTAAAAAATTTATATGGATTGACACAGAAATTTTGTAATTACATCATAAATGCTTATAATTAAAGTCTACTGTTTCACAGTCAACACATGGCTTTTTGGCTAGATTTAAAACAAGGAAAAGTGCACTTTTAG